GCCTGCCTGCATTCCAGAAATAGGAGCCACTGTCTGCCCTCTCTCCCACCTCAGCATGGACCAGGGCTAGGAGTTCAGAGGACTGTTTCAGTGAGAGAAAGAGCACCAAAGGCTGGTATTCATGGAGGGAGGACGACTAGGGGGCCTGGGACATAAGGGCATAAGCCTGCAGACTCCTGTGAGGGTGTCATCTTGTCTCCAGAGCAGCCAGAGTGGAGGGGCCAGGTTCTTAAAACGACTGGAACCCTCAGCAGAGGTGTGGGGGCTACCTGGGCCAATTGTTGGCTCTGCCGAGTAAGTCAGGTCAGGCCCTGCACTGCCCCCCACTCTTTTTCCCCCTCTTTCCTTCCACTCTCCCTAACTCCACGAGCTTCTCACTAGTAAAAAGGACACAAGCTTGAAAACATACAAAGCTGGTTTTGAATGCTCGCTCTACCATTTAGTGACTGTGTGACCGTGGATGAGTCATTTAACCTCTCTGAGCCTCAGTTTCTTCATCTATAAACATGGTATAGTTCCACCTTCCTACATGGTTGTGAGGGAGGAGTGAGATAACTGCTGAAGAGAGCCCGACACACTGCCTGGAAAATAGGAGGCTGTCAATAAACGCAGCTTCCTCGCCTTTACTGGACAATTCACTACTTCCTATACGACTCTATTCCTGTCCTAAAGGAAACTTCTGGGTACACTAACTAGATGTTAGGAGCTCAGCACAGAACTTCTTCTGCCAGAGAGGGCAATGCTTAACACACAGCAAGGGGCAGTAGGGAACGAATTTCTGGCTAGCTGGTAGTCTTTCTGAACACCTCCCAAGTCACACCCTGTACTTGACTGTCCCCACACACAAGGCTGATTCTAGAATCCCTGAAAAAGATTTGCTGCTCCAGTTTGCAAAAATAGTATTGCCTGATTTGGGGAGCTGGGAAGAGGGCAGCCAGATGTTTATCCTAGAGAACCATGAGGCCCCCAACACAGCCTCCTGCCAGTCAGAGCTGCTGCTGCTCCTGCACCAGCCCCCTCCCATCTGACGCCCTCCCTTCCCCAACCCTGAGAACATCTGGTTCTAATCTCCTCCAGATGCTGCGGCCAAGCTGTTTTATGGCCAATCACCTCAGCCCAGCTTCTTGAAGTCCTCCCTCCATTTCAGGGAATGGCCCCTGGTCCCTTTCCTTGGGGCCCCAGCCACCCCTTTTCCAAACATGGAGAAGTGAAATACACTAAAGAAGCCAAATGAAACTGTGAGGATCCTCGGAGCTGGCAACTTCCCTCCCTCCAGCTTGGGGGCGCCCTCTTATCCACCAAGAATAAAAAACTCAAGATGCTGCCCTAGGAGGAAGGAGTGGGCCGGGAATTGTGGGCATCCATCTGAGCAAAGGTGAATGTGTGAGTTGTGTTAGGCAGTGAGAGTGTATATGATCATGTATGTGCACAGCAGAACACCCCACCTGTGAACCAGAGGCGCCCCTTTGTGGCCACCACCTCATCCTCCCAACCCCCCCACCTGCAGTGTGAGGGTAACTGTGAAGACAGAGCTAACCCAGGAGCCCCTCAGTTAGGCAATAGCAGCTACTGTCCAGGATCAGCCCTCACCTTGTAGCTCTATGTGGCCTACTAGGCTGTCTTCTAAATCTAGCCGAGAGAGAGAGAGAGAGA